TCATATTAAGGGAAGTGTGAACGGTTGGTATTTTCTTTATAATATATTTGCTTTTGTGATTTACTTTTCACAAAAGGAGAAAAAAAATTATGCTTTTAAGTGCAACATGTCATGGCAACGTGGATTTCATCCCACTAAAAATAAATTTTAGTAAATAAAGTGTAAATTTACCATAAAACTCTTTAAAAACATTGGAATTGGTTTGGTGTGTTCACTTGAAGACACTCTTTAAATTGTATTTTGTCTTGTCCTTTTGAATGACAAATGGTGTAGTGTAGTTTTTCATAAAAAAATAGTTTGAGCATAAGAAACTTCAAGGATGAAACTCAATTGCTTGTGAGTGGAAAAGGATTTTTGGTCAATTGGAATAAACATAGAGATGCTTAAAACAAAACACCCAAACAATATGTATTTATTATATGCAACCGTAATCCTTATAATAAATTGATATTGAGACCAAACTTCATTTCAACCACATAATTTCTAAATACTTTATGTGAAATTTCTTTATCACATATTTGGAAAATGTAATTGTATGGAATGGATAAATAACCATCATCATGGAAACTATTTATGATTAAAGAAAAACTGCAACAATAGGACTCAATCACTTCTGAGTCAAATCTATTTGGATAAAAGTGAAATCACAATTTATAGAAATGTCAACGATAATTAGATTTCAAATATGAATTAGATTTTGAGGGAGAAATATGTGTCACATATCAATTTTCAAATGCCTTGAGTCATACGTAGTGTTTCTTTAACGCGTACTTGTGAAAAATATGAAACACATAAAAATGTTGCATTATCATGACTATATTGGTTGTATGTTACACCATGAAATATATATATTAGTGGTGCAGATAAATAATGCAAACAATTATGGATAAACATAAGTCCATACATATGTCTAAATAAATATATACTTTGTATCATAAACCCGGAGTATGTCATGACTTTAAAAAACTATCTTAATGTTTAAATAGAACATATATAGGACAAGTATACTTGTAGTACGAACTATAGAATATATACAGAATAGAGTAGTACATCTAATTCATAGTTAAAGATCAGAAAATGTTTATTTTTTTATTTTTATTTTTTTATTTTTTTTATTTTTTTTATGGGAAATTAATTAGAACCCATATTGCTAACAAAAAACAGAGTCACGAAGGTAACCCATCACAAAATTGAAACCAACTGCCCACAAAAATTTACGGATCGGAGTAAACTAAAACCAACACAATATTAATGTTTATTTTATATTTTCCAAATTTGTACATATCATAAAAAATGTCAGACATTCATACGCACATAAGATCCAAAAATGGGTGTATGCTGATTTTAATATCAATATATAAAATCGATACATGGCATATAATATTTTATTAAAAAAAATATCATTATATATGTAGATTATATAGAGATCACATAGGTGTGTAAACAAGATTAAGAACGCACATACTAACGCAATGATGAAAACAAAATTGGATATGCATGAATAATCTAATGTAAACCCCTATGATGCTTTATTGATAACAAAATGGATAATGAAGAACCTGATAGGGGGGGCAGTGCTAAAGAGTGGTGGGCTGGCGGCCAAATCATCGATGGCTACACTGATTCTACTCTTCTAGGCGGCGATCGGGGATGAATAAAGGTGTGTGCCAATCTGTGCGGCGGAGGAGAAAGAGTGGCGATCTGTGCGGCGGCGAAGGAGGAGCGGCCAAAAAGAGATTAGGGTTAGTGCTCGTGCTGATAACGTGTTGAAGGAAGACTCTGTTCTCTCTCTTTTTCATTGCCCAACGTCTCTATATATGAGGCGGGATTAGGGTTTACAGTTAAAGCCCAATGGGCCCACAATACATAAACTACAAAGTACGATCCGTAATACATATTATATCTACACGATAGCACACAATTTGCAGTTCCCTTTAACAAATAGGAATATTGTAAGATGTTTGGATATTAATATCACTACACTTGTTTACATGATGATGCTGAGATATATGTTAATGTGGTACTTTTCTATGAGTTAATACTGGCGTTAGGTATATATTCTCACTCGACTTTCACTCGAGCGTGTAGTTATTGTTGTTCTTTTAAATGCACGTAGGTAGGAACCCAGGATTGGATGAACAACACAGAAGACAGTGATGCAGTGAGGTGTGGATGGTTTGGGGTTATTTTACTAATTAAATTTCATTATTTAATTACTTAATCGTTTGGACTGTCAGAATGTTATGTTTGGTCGTAAGCTTCTGCAATGGTTTGGATTTATATTTCTTACTCCGATAAACTTTTGAATATTTTAAATTATTGTGGTTGGATGTTTATTTTATTTCAAATGTTTTAAATTAATCATGCATGTGAATACCAATTTGGTAATGACCTAATTCGCTAACTCGTTGGTTCAGGTTACGCGGGTTAGGGTGTTACAGGAAGAGAAAGTTTGGTTGATACATGATAGACTATAAGTTGCTTCGGATCGCCAGAAGTCCTACGCTGACCTCAAGCGTATGGAAATTGAATATAATGTTGATGATTGGGTATTTCTCAAAGTTTCCCCATGGAAAAGGTTTTGAGGAAAGAAGTGTTGAAACACGGGTTTATCACGTTATCGTACTAAAGCCGTGTTCGTTGTTATGAAAGGTTTTGATAATGCCAAACCGCCGTGAACGAGACAAGTCATTGAATATACAAGGCGAGAACCAAAGATGAGAAGAAAGAGAACAAGGGCCAAAAGAAGACCAAGAACGAAGACCGTAGTCTTAGTATCGTTGAGTCGGTCACAATTGTGATCAAGACCGACCCAATCTTTACACCTTGGCTCTTTAGGCTAAAATTATTTTCATTGCATTTCACATCATAAAAATGTTTTTCAAACATGTTTAAAACATTAAAAAAACTTGGTGTTCGGGTTTCAGAAACCGGCGTTCGGCATTCGGCATTCGGTTTTCGGCGTTGGTTTTTGGCGTCCAAACTAATCAAGTGGTTTTCAACTTTTTATGATTGGTTTTTACTTCTGGGAACATTTAAATAGTTTTCCATCAAAAACACTTCAAAAACCACCTTTCGTTTTTTGTCGTTTGATAAAAACCATGTGAAACGGCATTAACTTAGCTAGCCGTGGTTTTTACTTAAATGAAGTGCTTTTCGAGTATTTTTGTGTGGGAATTGTTTTTGAATGAATTTAAATGGTTCTCCAATCAAAACATCATGAAAACCACCTTTCGATTTTTTCTTTTGGTGAAAACCACCCGTGTACGGTGTTGACTTGGTCAACTATGGTTTTTACCTTAACGACGTGGTTTTCAACTTACAAAGCTTGTTTTGACATCAAAATACATTAAATAAGTGTTTTATTTACTTAGTTTTTACTTTGGAGATTTTTGCATTTTTCAGTCGGGTTTCAGCGCCGGTCAGCTACGCCATGGTTCTGGGCTAGCCATCTACCCATCGATGGTAGATTTCACCCATGCATGGGTAAGTGATCCCGGGATTCCAGAATCATGCCACCCAGCGATGGGAAGATCTTCCCATCGATGGGTAAGCAGTCCCTCAACGAAACTGATTTCCAGAACCATGCCAAACAGCGACGGGAAGTTCTACCCATCGCTGTTAAAGCCTTGGTGCAACATTACCACAAGGCAGAATGCCCTTACCCAGCGATGGGAAGCTTTACCCATCGATGGGAACCCAGCGATGGGAAGGC